CACGAAAGCTTATGCTCTAATAAATCTGTTAGTCTCTAAGGTGCCACAAGTACTCCTGTTCTTTAATCTGCAGGAGTTTGCTTCCCAGCTTTCCTTCCCTGTGAGTGTTTGGGTGGGATGTGGAGGAGGAGCCAAATTGCTCATTCTTTGTGTTGGGTTTTCCCTTTGTGCTATTCCTCTTTCTCCCCAGCACAATGACTCCTGTCTGGATTGTGTCTCTCCCAGCAGGTGCTGAGCAAGGGAGTGAGAACGAGGAGGGGAATCATCATGAGGAAGTTCCCGGGGAAGTGGAACTGCAGGGGACCTTCGTGGGAAGAGCTGAAGGGAATTTTTCCCCGTGCTTGGAGCAGGCAGAAGCCTGGGGAAGTTGGCACAGGTCAGAGAGGATTCTGGGAAACCACCCAGGGAAGAAAGTGGATGAATCTATTAGCGGTGGGGGAAGAGAGGAGGATCCCAGAGCGCAGCAGACAAATCCCAAGGAAGAGACTACCTGGCACTACCTTCAGTGTGGGAAAGGATTCATTGTGAGATCACACCTTGTTCAACATCAGGCAATCCACACACGAGTGCGACCATACAAGTGCTTGGACTGTGGGAAAAGTTTCATACAAAGGTCAGACCTTGTTAGACATCAGGCAATCCACACAGGAGTGAAACCGCACAAGTGCTTGGACTGTGGGAAAAGTTTCACAGAGAGGTCAAACCTTCTTAAACATCAGGCAATCCACACAGGAGAGAGACCCCATAAGTGCTTGGACTGTGGGAAAAGTTTCATAAGAAAGTCAAACCTTGTTAAACATCAGGCAATCCACACAGGAGAAAGACCTCACAAGTGCTTGGTCTGTGGGAAAAGTTTCATAAGAAAGTCAACGCTTGTGGAACATCAGGCATTACACACAGGAATGAGACCCCACAGATGCTTGGAGTGTGGGAAAAGTTTCATACAGAGGTCACACCTTGTTAAACATCAGGCATTACACACAGGAGAAAGACCTCACAAGTGCTTGGTCTGTGGGAAAAGTTTCATAAGAAAGTCAAACCTTGTTAAACATCAGGCAATCCACACAGGAGAAAGACCTCACAAGTGCTTGGTCTGTGGGAAAAGTTTCATAAGAAAGTCAACGCTTGCGGAAGCGCAGGCATTACACACAGGAATGAGACCCCACAGATGCTTGGAGTGTGGGAAAAGTTTCATACAGAGGTCACACCT